GGTTTGTTGTCGGGGGGGCTTTGTCAGTCGCTGCCGGTCCAGTGCCCTGCCTGCCCTGTCTGTTCTGTTCCACCCCTGTGTAAGCCCGGAGAGGCGTTTGCCGGGTACCCATCGGTCCCTGGCACCGATTCCCCCGTCCGGGGCCTGGACAAAGAGACACTGTCCCAGGCTTTGGCAGAGTTGGGCGCTCTTACACGCTTTTTTCCAAGGAGGCCTGGCTCTTGCGACTGGACTGTTGGGCACCTCTGTTTGCTGGGTCCTACGAGGGTGGTGCTCCCCAGAATACACACAGTGCCCCCATTGTTCTGTCCCCGTCCCCTCCCCCGCTGTACAAATGCAGTTATTGTAAGAGATTCCCGCGAGCCGCGGCCTCTTTCCAGCCAGATAAACTTGCGCACAATTAGTTCACTGAGAGCCGAAGGCAAGGCACAGCCATGAATGGAGTCCTTATCCCAGTGGCGGAGAACCTGGAGCACTGCTTCCTGGAGAGAGCCTGCGGAGGGGAGGGGCAGCTGCTGTCTCCCTTTCAGCGGGGCTCACGGCTAGCCCTGCCACCCTCCCTCAGCCTCCAGCTTTACGCCCAGCCTCAGACATGCACCCACTTCTGGCCTTCCAGCAGCACTCGGCCCCGTGCTGGGGGCCTGCGGGTTAAGCTCCCCATTGCTGAAAGTGCTGCCTGTTGGCAGACATGTCTGCGGCACGCTCGGCTCGGTGCAGGCGCCGCAGCAGAGGTGAGGCGCTGCTTCGCCATGCCCACTGCGCGACCCCACAGGGGACGGCTCCAGCAGCCCTCCCTGCTGCACTGTGGCTCCTCGGGTCCCACCTGCTGCCGCCGGGTAGGCAAGGCCACTCTAAGCAAGGTGGTGCTAGCTGGTGGAATCACACACCCCTGCAGCCTTCCCCACGTCCCCCAGTGCCCTGGCTGGGAGGCTGGAGCTGGAGGGGAGCCACGGTCTAGGGAAGGCTTTTAGCAAGTACATTACTTGTGTGTTCCCCAGTGAGCTGGATTACTACGACTCCCCCAGCGTGAATGCTCGGTGCCAGAAGATCTGTGATCAGTGGGACGCTCTGGGGTCCCTGACCCACAGCAGGAGAGAAGCCCTTGAGGTAAGCAAGTCTTTGCTGGTGCTGTGCTCTGCCTCCCAGAGGCAGGGAGAGGTAAAGAGCCGCCACGGCCTGGTGGAGGCATGCCCGTGCCTGTTCCTAATTCAGCTGGGCCTGTCCCCCTGCTCAGAAAACAGAGAAGCAGCTGGAGACCATTGACCAGCTGCACCTGGAGTACGCCAAGAGGGCGGCGCCATTCAACAACTGGATGGAGAGCGCCATGGAGGACCTGCAGGACATGTTCATTGTGCACACCATCGAGGAGATAGAGGTAGGAGGGGCCAGGGCTTGGGGACACTGCTCCCCCAGGCTAGAAGGCTGGCTTATGTGGCCGTAGATCGTGCTCCTTGGAGAGGCTCTTTGGGGCCATCTTGTGACTGGGTTTCTGTGCCCCAGCGTCCCACAGCTGCGGTTAGGTTGGGTCGCTGGGATCCAGAGCGTCTGTTTCCATTGACTTGTGAGCTCTGATGCATCTTTTTGCCTGAACCCCTCACCACCTGAGGGCGCTGCAAGGCCAGCATTTTGCCTGTCCCCAGCGGGGCGGGACAGGGCTCGCTAAAATGCTCTCTGGCCTCTTAGCTTTCAGCTGTTTGTCTGACTGGGATGCTCTCTCTGCCAGGGCCTGATTGCCGCGCACGACCAGTTCAAATCCACCCTGCCTGACGCAGACAAAGAGCGTGAGGCCATCCTGGGCATCCAGAGCGAGGCTCAGCGAATTGCGGACTACAACAGCATCAAGCTGCCCGGGAACAACCCCTACACATCGGTCACCCCGCAGATCATCAACTCCAAGTGGGAAAGGGTGGGTAACGCTGCCCCCGCTCTGCTTGCAGGGCTGCCCAGAAGTACCCGGGTTTGCTCAGCCATTGCTGGCTTGTTCGTCAGGCTGCCTGGCTGGAAACCTAGCCACTGCCTTGGGAAAGAGAGCAGGTAAAATAGGCTCCTGCTGCTGATGCCTCTGCCCCCAGCTGACCCCACTCATAGGGTGTGCTGTGGATGGTCACTTGTAACCCGTTCGCAGCCCCGTGGATGGCTGCGTGTTCCCAGCTCTGCGGGCTTATCGGGGGAGATGGGGGTTCAGATTGCTGGATGGCTGCGTGTTCCCAGCTCTGTGGGCTTATCGGGGGAGATGGGGGTTCAGATTGCTGGATGGCTGCGTGTTCCCAGCTCTGTGGGCTTATCGGGGGAGATGGGGGTTCAGATTGCTGGATGGCTGCGTGTTCCCAGCTCTGTGGGCTTATCGGGGGAGATGGGGGTTCAGATTGCTGGATGGCTGCGTGTTCCCAGCTCTGTGGGCTTATCGGGGGAGATGGGGGTTCAGATTGCTGGATGGCTGCGTGTTCCCAGCTCTGTGGGCTTATCGGGGGAGATGGGGGTTCAGATTGCTGGATGGCTGCGTGTTCCCAGCTCTGTGGGCTTATCGGGGGAGATGGGGGTTCAGATTGCTGGATGGCTGCGTGTTCCCAGCTCTGTGGGCTTATCGGGGGAGATGGGGGTTCAGATTGCTGGATGGCTGCGTGTTCCCAGCTCTGTGGGCTTATCGGGGGAGATGGGGGTTCAGATTGCTGGATGGCTGCGTGTTCCCAGCTCTGTGGGCTTATCGGGGGAGATGGGGGTTCAGATTGCTGGATGGCTGCGTGTTCCCAGCTCTGTGGGCTTATCGGGGGAGATGGGGGTTCAGATTGCTGGATGGCTGCGTGTTCCCAGCTCTGTGGGCTTATCGGGGGAGATGGGGGTTCAGATTGCTGGATGGCTGCGTGTTCCCAGCTCTGTGGGCTTATCGGGGGAGATGGGGGTTCAGATTGCTGGATGGCTGCGTGTTCCCAGCTCTGTGGGCTTATCGGGGGAGATGGGGGTTCAGATTGCTGGATGGCTGCGTGTTCCCAGCTCTGCGGGCTTAGTGGGGGGGGG